TCTTGGCTTCTAGAAGAGAACTACCGCTTTGGTTCACACAAAGGGCCATGAACCTTGTGAATACATTAATGCTTTGTTGTTCAGTCCCACAGTCGAGTCCGACTCTTTGCGACCCCATGGACTAGATCCCGCCAGGCCTTCCTGTCTTCCGCCATTCTCTGAAGTTGGCTCAACTTCATGTTTGTTGCATCTATGACACTGTCTAACCATCTCATCCTTTGCCATCCCCGTCTTCTTTGACCTTCATTAATTAATGCTAGATCAAAGCATTTCTACAAACAAGATGTTAGTTGGCCAATACAAAGGTTACAGGTCACTTCATTAGGATAAACAACTCCCACAAACTTTTCCCACTGTTGAATACATTATGTAACGTAACATCCTGTTTCCTAACGAACAACATTTAACTCTGTAATGACTGAAGTGTAAGCAACTTGCAATTCCAACAAAATGCTTTACAGGGACGACAGAACAGGCAGATCAAGATGATTTTAGAGGGCACCTCATGAATGCATCTGTCCTTTACATGGAAACAAAAGCCCACCATCGGGAGTGTAGCAGAGCATGGCTAAGTATGTAGGCTGCACCCCACACACAAAAGTCCAGCGCCCACCACTTTGTGGCACCTCAAAGGCGCCAACACAGAGTTCCACAACATGGATCCTCCTGGTTTTTGCTTTGGGGCTCCCCAAACTCACCGTGTCACCACAGTGCAACAGCATGGTTCATAGTGCCACCACAGTGCAACAGCATGGTTCTGAAGCACAGCTCCTCAGGGGTCCTGATGATTTTGGTGCCAGATAAACCCAGACTCACCATCAAATCACATATCATGTCCATAGTCACAGACTGCACCACAAAAATGGTGCCAGCACAGTGCAAAAACAGTACAGATCCTCATGGATCTTCAGTATTTTTTCATTGGGCTACCCCATATATACCATCAAATTACATCTCATGCCTATAGCCACAGATTACACTAGAAAAAAATCACAGACCCCCACAGTGTTCCAAAGCATGGATTGTTTGCTGCTGGTAAACACAAATAATAGGTGGTAATTCATAATCCAGGCCCTGCGGGATTTGGTGCAATTCCGCAGGGCCTGTAAGACGGAGCTCTTCCACCAGGCTTTCGATTAGGGGCCGCCGCCGCTGTCCCCCCCTGCTGTATACCATCAATGTGGGGGGGAGGGCCCTAGGAGACTAGGGGAACATAATGCCACACAGTCCTCCAGTAATAAGTTTAAAGAAAGTAAAAAGCCAGAATCATTCTGTCCATATTTTGTTCTTTCTCATTACAGAAACTGCCACTCATTGTCAAAAGAACCTTTTGCTGCTTCTGCTGTTGTGGGGAGGGGAAGGGAAAGGAGATTGTAAACTGCTCTGAGACTCCGAGTGAAGGGTGGGGTATAAATCCAATCTCTTCTTCTAAATTACAAACATGTAAAGCTAAAGGTTCCCTTGCTTGAAAGCCAGTCGAGTCCGACTCTAGGGTTGCGGTACTCATCTCCGTTTCAAAGCCGAAGAGCCAGCGCTGTCCGAAGACGTTTCCATGGTCATGTGGCCGGCATGACTAAACACCAAGACAAACATGTAGTAATTAGGAAAAAAACCCCCACAAGATGTGGACTTTGCAGATGAACGTGAGGACTCAGAAGGTGATTTTCAGTAATAACATTTTTTAAGTTTGGAAAATGTTAGATGTTAGCAGTTATGAAATGATAATCTAAGATTTTAAAATGAAACATAGGCCCATTGGACAACGGCTGGCCTTACAAAATCAAGACATTTCTTTGCAGCAGCCCAAAGTGGCCCATTTAAATCCTGGCGGGGGTGGGAGGCCCTACCTGTCTCGCTTGGAGAAAGCCCCGCCCAGAAGCGTCGGAAGCGGGCCAATCAGAGGCATCCGGGAACGAGGCGGTCTTCGGTCCGGTCGCCTTTCGGTCCCTCCGTCCCCGGCTGGGTTCCCGCGGTCCGCTTTTGGCGCTGGACCGGAAGTGACGTCCCCGCCGCCTTCCGCCGTGTCCCGAGAGGCGCTTCCGGCTGCGGCGGCGATGGAGGCGGCCGTGGCGGCGGAGCCGGGCGAGCGGTGGGCGCCGGTGGGGGCGGTGGCCGAGGCGGGGGGCGAGGCCGAGG